AAACAGAAACAAGTAAAGGTTTATTCCATGCTGAAAAGAGAACAAAAACAACGTTTTGGCTGTGGAGCCTTCTTCAGGTGTGACACGGTGTTGTGGCAAGCAGTAAACCATTACTTGTTCCTTTGCAGCCTACGCATGCTGACGCAGCTACCTACACGAACTACTAACACAGAAACATGATATGCTTAAACGTAACAGCAGGACACATGCAAAGCATATACAGGCAGCGAGGAGCAAAGAGGTCAGTTTCGAGCCCGTATCTTTTGCTTTGAGTCAAGAAACCCGGGATACAGAAAAGGGGACAATCCAAGTTGAGCATAGATGATGAACTATTTGATGCAAAAACGAGCGCTGTTCACATATGAACTGTCAAGTGGAGCGACATTCACCTGCTTGTGAAGAAAAACATGCTGATGAAGGACACATCCCTGCTTGCCAGACGCATGGAAAGAGAAACCCATCTGCGTTAATAAAAGACTATAAAAAAAAGCTGTACGGTGAATTATTTGAGTTAAATGTATAATCCTGCTTCCTTGTTTGCCGATGACATGCAGATAAGGCGGAGATAACTTCCAGCACTAAATTACATGGCTGCGCTGCGCATTTTCTTCTTTACCTGGGGTTTAATAGCACCTTGCAAGAAAATTTTCATTACTAAAGAAAATTGCCTGTTGAAATTGATGATGACTATAAGTACTTGGGACTGGTCATTGACAAAAACATAATATGGGACAAATGTTGTGACACTTTCGATAAAAAAGGCCAACAGAGACTCTTCTTTCTTAGGAAACTCAGCTACTTGAAGGTAGATAAAACTATTCTTACACTTTTCCACAAATCACTCCTTTAGCTCATTGAAAGTGTCTTAACATACTGCTTCACTTGCTGGTTTGGCAACAAAAGTACCGGTCATTGTAATAGGCTGTTTAAATTAGTAATTATAAGTGGCAAAACAATCGGAAATAATCAAATCAACTTGAGCATCCTTTACAAACAGAGGGTGACTAAGAAAGCCAAAAGCATTAGGGAGTGTGTGTCTCACCCCCTCCATTGCGAATTCACACTTCTCCCAAGTGGGAGACGCCTCTGTGCCCCAGGTGTAAAACCAACAGACTCAGGAAATCTTTCATTCACACTGCAATTACAATGCAAAGTAACTACCTGGTTTATTCCATGCTGAAAAGAGAAGAAAAAAAACACAACGTTTAGAAGGCTCCACCGACGACGCATGCTGACGCAGCTACCCACCTGAACTACCTCGTCTCTTGTTTCTTATCTCCTTTAACACTACTGTATTCTCTCCCCTTTTGGTGATGTTTATTTGCCAT